GCTTATAGAACTGGGGGTTTGGTGGTCTTCGGCTGTTTTCTGATTAGCCTCCGTAGTAGGCTTATAGAACTGGGGGTTTGGTGGTCTTCAGCTGTTTTCTGATTAGCCTCCGTAGCAGGCTTATAGAACTGGGGGTTTGGTGGTCTTCGGCTGTTTTCTGATTAGCCCAGTTCAAAAAACCTGGGTTCATAATTAGACCAGGCCGGCTATGTTGTCTATATGCAATCAGAAAATAGCACATAAAAGATCCCAAAGACCCCCCAAAACACCCAGTTTTTGGCATGCTATGGAGGCTACCTCCATGGGGAGTCAGGCATCTTCTACTCTCTATTCATGGTGATTTTAACAACAGTAGCTACAGGGTATGAAAAGTCATTTTCTGGGATAAGATCCTATGTCACAGTTGGGGAACATTACATACTACAGGTCGATACACAATCATGACTGGGAGCTACGTCGGAAAATTTGGCTGCTCGCTTTATGTGGAACTGCAGGACATAGAACATCAACAAAGCAGTGTTTATTATCATAATTTATTGCTGAGGATAGCAAATCTAGGTCGCTTTAGTTCAGTGAACAGGTGAATGAACTATGGTAAGGCAACACCAATTTAATTTCTTGGTTATCGGATTTGCCCGCTTAATATTTTTCTGATTTGCAAAAAAAAAAAAGAAAATTTCAGAATCAACCGCAAAATGCTCATATTTTGCCCTGAACAGTTGACAGCAGTCCTAGTTGTTACAGTTATTCCATCTTTCAATGCAATGGTTCAAAATTCATTGTTTAAATTTTGAACCAGTCTGGTGTGTTGACTTCATGGCTCCTATCATACCATTTTGGACCATAATAGGATGCCCAGGCCTGTTTTTATTTTTTATTTTTTTGCCCGCCCGCTCCATTATTTTTCTAGAAAAATCCGTTAACCAAGAAATCAAATTGGTGTGGCCTTATGGTAATTTATTGCCGAGGTTGGCAAATCTAGGTCACGAGAGTTCAGTCGAGTCAGGAAACAGGTGAATGAATTATGGCAGGGGTGCGTCGCCTAAATTTCCATGACAGCCTCATTATCACATGTCTGATGTTTCCACTGCTTCTGCTGATTGATGCAGAAATGGCCTTTTCTGACATTAATGCCCCGGCACTGAGTTTTATCCATAATTACGGCCATTTCTGGTTTCTACAGGCTACTTATATTTCCTGGCTACTCAATTCCATGACATGCCTGACTGTACTTAGCATAAGAGTTATAGGACCATTTTTGGAAAAATGGAAACTTTACAGACGCCCCCCCCCCTCCCCTATCACATTTACAAATACGCTGACCTGCTGCATTTGACATAAACATTCATATCCTGTTGCCAGACAATTGTAGTCTAGATACGTATCAAGCATATGAAGTATATGTCTAGATAAACTATGGTTTAAGATAACTGAGTGAGACACAGATACCAAATTTAATGCAGTCTCCCACTCACTTTATTAGATAATAATTGAAACTTTACACTTACTGTGCTGAATAGATAATCATAATGTGACACATGTTCTGAGATTGTTTCATCTTTAGGTACAGAAAAAGTCATGATACACTCCTAGTAGTATTGACAGCCCCAAAAGGATGTATTTCACAACATAATGTTGTTGTTGTTTTTTTGTAGTAATTCTGTTGGTTCTGTCTACAGATTAAGTGCTGTTAATTGCAGAGTGACACACGAATGAAAGCTGTGCAGTAAACCTACAGGGTATGCATGGCCGGATGTACAGTGTCATCATGTAACTCACAGTCACATATCAGTGGACAGAATCTTGGAATCATCATCATTTCTTGGAATAATCTGTGATTTTATAAGTATACAATCTTCCTAATTGTATTGCTCACACGCTAGATATCATAGTTACTCTTTGGGGTGTCACAAAATGCAGTAAATTATTTAGTAACAGTTGGCATTGTCTTTGTGTTTTTTTTGTCTGTCATTTTTTCATCTTTTCATCTAACTTATAGATAAAACGATAATTGTTGTGGCTTGCCAAGTATCATAAACCTTTTCTAAAATATGATTGTTAGCACTTTGTGAGTTTGAGATTGAACAATTAACCAAACTACACATACACTGAGTGGAGCATTGTCCTGCAACTACACAAGTTCAGCAGAAGCTCCCCCTGTCAGAATAGTTGGTAACTGCAGTTAACCCTGACTGGAACTTCTGAAAAACCTCAAATCTGATTAAAGAGTACAAGAAATAAATTACCTTTAGTACAACTGGAAGGTTGAAAGGGGTCTAATACTAAATGGGACAACAGAGTTGAGGGAAAACTATGAACTGCATTGATTGCTCCCTTGGCAATTTAGAGACAAACAGCAGTACACAGTACTGTATTTCACTTTATGTTCACGGTAGCAAAATTTCACGGTCTGAGAAAAATTAACATGTTCACAGAACTTTGTGTTTATCGTAGTGACAGGTGCAGGAAAAAGAAAGTCCAGGAATTATTCGTTAACTGCAATGATAAGTTAACGGTACAGAAGTGACAGTGAAAACAGTGGACATAAAAGTGCAGTGGCAGTGCACAAATCATTAATTACAGTATTAATGGGCGACCTCTGGGGTCTATGACACGGGGAAAAAAAAAGTAGGGACAAAATTGCTAAAAGCTTGGAAATTTATACAATGGGGGGTGTGCAGTAACTCCTGAAATCATGTGTCTTTTCACAAACTTTACAGGCATTTGACATGTCTCTTTGGTGACCCCTTATTACCTTCGCCAAGAAGGTTAATAATATGTTTTCAGGGGCGTTCGTGTATGTGTGTGTGTGTGTGTGTGTGTCTGTCTGTCTGTCAACACGATAACTTAAGAAGGCCTTGATGGATTGTCTTGATACTTGGTAGGTAGGTAGATCTTGATGAGACCTCAAAGTGATTAGATTTTGGACCCCCTAGCGGCTTGTTATGGTACTGCAGCTGAACTTCCGGTTTTGATATCTCATGATCTAGACATGCTATGGTGATGAAATTTAGATGGTAGGTAGCTCTTGTGCTGGGGAAGAAGTGACGTGAGTTTAGGCCCCCTAGTGGCTTGCTCTGGAACTGCAGGGATAAATTCTTGAAAATATTCAAAAGGGGATAACTCAAGAACCGGTTGACAGATCGTCGTGATTTTTGGTATGTAGGTAGCTTACGTGATGCTTAATATAATTATGTGACAATTATGCAAATATTGATGTAATTTGCATAATTTATGGAGAAATTCTATAAATCAGCTGCATTCAATAATAGGACAATTAAAGCTTGTGACGTTGGTAATTGACAACGAGAGAAACACAGGAAGATATTGATTATGTTAATAATGACTTAATTTGCATAATTAATGAGAAAATTTTATAATTATGTAATGATAACTGCCTGGAATTTCATACTTGTGGTATTTGAAAGTTAAATTGAGGTGAACATCATTAAACATAATTTATTCAAATCAGGACCTCATTTGCATAATTCATTAGGAAATGCTAGAATGCATTGTTTGTTAATATAAGACTGTTTTTTGGTTGAGATTATTATAAAATGATATAATTCATGAAAATTAGGTTCCTATTTCTTAAATCAGGGGGGAATAATCTAATCTATAATTTGTCAGTCATAAAGATTAACATCATTTGGCGAAGGTATGAGATCGGGGAACTCTAGTTCCATACTCTTCTAGCCTTATTTTTCTGGGGATGTTTTCGTTGTTGCGGTCTGGGCCTAGCTGTAATAACAAAGATTGCATCTTACCTCCTGGTTGTGATTACTTTCTTTCTGTGCTTCTGTAAATATAAAGCACAATTAATCTCTGTCGTAACTATGTCCACAGCACCACTAATAGCGTCAACAGCTTTACTTCAAAGTAACTTATTGATTTTAAGTTGTTTTGTATCCATTAATATACGGTAAGAGATACAAACACTCTAACCTATTTCATGCACTTTTGTACTGTAGAAAAATTCATTAGTCCTCATTTGCGACTAGTCAAACCACCCATCGAAAAACAGATCTGTACCTTTATTTCTACAATAAATGAAAAGCGAGAAGTTGAATTTATATAACGATAGTTCGTTTCTTCTGTATCTGTTAACCGTGTCCATTCATCTTGTTTTGTTGTGACCTGTACTTAGCCAATT